CACTTGCCTCCCGGGGGGCCCTTTAAACCCCCTTTTTTAAAGGGCCCAATTTTCGCTTTAGCGCTGCCCCCAATTTGTTTGGGGACAATTCCCCGGGGGTCATGCAACATTGTCCCCATATAAAATTTTGATATTTTTTTTCACAATAGAGTTTCTTTTGGTTTGGTATTTAATCCCACTGGGCGCTTTTTTTTTTGCGTTTTAAAATTTAAAAAAATTTTCCCAAAAATTTTAAAAAAAAAAAAAAGGTTTTTTGTTTTATTAAAAAATTTTTTTCAAAAGGTAATTTTTCTTTCACTGATGTGGTTATGAGGCAGCATGATGGGTTGATAGGCAGCACAAAAGGGATGATGGGCAGTAAAATAAAGGGGGATGGATAGGCGGGGGACTGGATGGGAGCACTAATGAGGTGAACGGTATGGGGGGCTTTAATATCCCCGAAACTGATAGGCGGCATGTAGGTGACACTGATGAGGGGGAAATGTTAGACGGATGACGGAAATCAGTGGGCACGGACTGGGGGGCACGACTGGGAAACCCGGGGGGCCTAAATGGCAGCATGTGGGCTTCAGGGGTGGGGGGCCCACTGGGGGGCCCAGCATGGTGGGGGGGCCCAAGGTGGGGGACTGGGGGGCAAGGTGGGGGAAGTGGTGGGACAGGGGGGGGGCATTTTTGGGAAAGGGTTTTATTTTTGGGGACATTGAAAGAGTGGCACGGGTTGGGGGTTGCACTGCGGGGAAAGGTGGGTGATCTGCTGGGACAGGGGGGGGGAGTAGGGGGCGCACTGGGGGAAAAGGTTTGGCGAATTTTGCGGGTGGCATGCGGGGCCCCGATCATCAGGGCACTGATATCAGTCCCCCGGGATGATGGGTTTTCCCGACCCCCGCTTGACAACTGGGTTTTGGGGAAATTTTATTTCCCTCACGATTGACAGGGGAGGAAAGTGCAGCCGAGAACAGGCCTTGCTTCCTTGTCAGCGTTGTCATAGGGACACCCGTGATAGGTGTAAAGGCGATGTGAATGGCTTTTACACATCACGTGATCAGCTGTGTCAAGTAGGAATTTTTTTTGTAGCAGTTCAAGCAGTCCCCTGACAGCCAGAGTGCTCTTTTTTCCCAGGAGTCGCACTAGGTACCTTATAAATTTAGGTGGCCAAAATGTCCAACTAAAAGGTACTATAGTGATATAGTGAAGAGGCCTTACAGGATTCTGAGCATGTCAGGTGAGAGTGAAGGGGAAGACTCACTGACACAATCCACCTCAGTTATATGAACCTTGCAGCTTAGTGGCACCCCAGACAGATCGCTCAGAACAATGGAGAAGAGGTCCCAGCTAAGGTTCAGCATACCGCGACCCCGTTCCCCATGTTGTTCTGAGGTAGTTACAATTACATGATGACTCTGATGTGCAGCAGAGTGCCAAAGTACTAGTGGCCGCTCTACCTTTCGGTGAAATGGGTGAGCACCAACAGCCTAGTACATCCTGGTCTTTCACATACAGCACTGCAAGTATCACTTGGTGATGTGGCAAGTCCCCCATAAGGTGCAATATAAGCTGGTGCTCGTGGTGAGTACAAGTAGTGTCCTGCAGCCACCAAGAATTTGCACACAGGCCCATAGAGCCCCTAGTATCCTTCTGGATGTGCAGCCACAAAATTCTGCAGCACTCCGTACTTCCCCCATTCATATTTATATGCACAACAGTTTATCACCAACACCCAACCCAAATACAAACCTTGCCTGACTATTTGTATGGAAACCTATCACGGTTTCTGAATTTATGGTTTTTGGGGCCTAACCCCTCAACATGGGCATTACTAAGAAAACGTTTATTGCAGTTGTATTGGTCCACAGACCCAATTCATCATATATGCCTGTGTTCTCTGCTGATATGGCCAGGTATAGATATGAGAATATGTGATTTATGCATTTCAATGACAATACACTCTGTTGTCCTTGGGGTGACCCTGAATTTGACCGGCTCCACAAAATTTGTCACCTTGTTATTCCACCTTAACCAAAAATGTGCAGATGTCTATACTCCCCAGCAAAAATCCCTCATTAATTTTTCTGGTCACCTTGCATTCAAACAATTTCTCTCCCAGCAAGCTGAACAGGCATGGAGTTCAGACATGTATATCAGACCTGTGATTTAGGGGGGTTTGCTGCTATCCTGGATTTCAGGGCCTCCAAAACTGTGATAGGTAGTGAGGAAGTGAAATGAGGAAGTTATGCCACCTTCAGGCTGTCAAAGTGGTCATTGGATTTCAGGCTCCTGTATGTGGCTAGGCTCACAAAAAGCCTTTCACATGTGGTATCCCCCCATACTCAGTAGAAGTAGCAGAATGTATTTTGGGGTGTAATTCCACATATACCCATGGCTTGTGTGAGCAATATGTCATTTAAGTGACAATTTTATGTAAAAAAAAACTTGTGGAAAAAAAAATAAATCTTCCATGGACTCAACATGCCTCTCAGCAGATAGCTTAGGGTGTCTTATTTAAAAAAAAAGGGGTAATTTGGAGGTGTTTGTACTGCCCTGGTATTTTAGCACCTTAGGCAGTCAGTAAAAGCTGTGTAAATTCAGTTTCTATACCATAGTTTGTAGATGATATAACTTTCACACAAACCAATTAATATGCAGTTATTGGGATTTTTCTTTTACCAAAGATATATAGCAAAATATGTTTTGGCCTAAATTTATGATGAAAGTTGAGTTTATTGAATATTTTTTATAACAGAAATGAGAAAATATTGTTTTTTTTCAAAAGATAGAGAATTAGAGTTCCTATTTCCAGAATCCCATCGTTGGGAGTTTGGTTGTATGAGTTTGTTTTTGGAGTAGGTGGTAGAAGGTAGAGAGATGGGAGCTGGAAGGTTGTAGAGCTGTTGAAGAGTGTTATGAGGCCCATGGGTTGAGAGGAGGCTGAGTGTTCTCACAGCAGTGCAGGTGAGGGTAGCATATGTCTAATTCTGAGGAATTTGTAGAAGTCTTTCTGGTCCAGAAAATAAGTGAGGCTGGGATCTGAAACGTTCTTATGTAAGTGTTGTTCAGCAGATCTTTGACAGAGTAAATGCCCTTTGTGTACAAGTTTACAGGTGGATATCTTTCAGATAGGAGTTCCAAGGTGAGAAGAGAAGACATTGCAGAACATTTTGCAGTATATCCAAAGAGGATTACGCCAAAGAGTTTCCACATTCATATGATTGGTGTTATGGTGTCCAGGAATTCTGGTCAATTTCTATCATTGCACCATGGAGAGTATTCTTCTCATCCACACTGTAATGTAGTATTATGGCTGTAGGACGGGGTGTCGGTCTCAAAAGGAGAAAAAAAGCACAGCGGTAGGTAAAGATCTATCGAATTTGGACACAGCTATGCCAGCAGACTAAAAAAGAAAGCAAATGGCAGAGTGATCCATCCCGGTTACAGTGTGTTTGTATCTATGATAAATGACAGGCTAAACCCACCTGGAGACTTTCTCCACACCTGGAGTGTGCTGAGTTCTTGGAGAACGTCTACACAGTGTTTCCAGATTGGCTTTATCACCCCAACGAGCTCGCTCCAGTTCATGGATGTCATCATTATGTTTGGAGGATCTCACCAGTCAGGAGCCTTTCCTGTCATCCTACATGTTCCCTTCTGAGGATTGTTCTATCCTTCCAAACAAATGTATGAAATCATGGATGAGTCCTCCTTCTATGTGATCTAGAAGATCTTCAATCACAATGTCTGTATGGATGAAGTGGATGGCCCAGTTTATATATTATTTATTGCTTTACAGCTTTATTCCCTCCAGGATTCATTCTTTATTTATAGAACCATTCAAGGAAGTGTTCTTACTTTGAGAGATCTCCACCACCATTCCTCTGTGACCATTACATCCTTGTCCTTTATGTCTAACATCTTCATTATGAGTGGATTGATATTTATTTTTATACTTTAAAGAATTTTTTTACATTTTCTTCACCAAAAAGATTTGATTTCAGAGGGAACCTGTTTTAATTTGTCTTCTATATGTAATAAAATATCTTTGTTAAAGTGTTGGTTCCATAAGAACTAGAATGATGAGTTCTTCCTTATCTTGTGTTATATATGAATTTCCCTGGTAGCCGTGTAAGGTAGATATTTTACAGGAATGATTATTCAGGCTCCATTCACACCAATGCGTTTTTTTAGTACTTTTTGTTTTCAGAAACGCTCAACAGTCCACTTAACATGGTTTCCTATGGGCCATGTTCACATCTAGGCTTTTTTTAGTTGTGTTATATGGAAAGGGTCAGGGACTTTTTTAAAAGCAAAAAGCAGCATTTTTGCTACAATAGAGTTCAATGGAGAATCTGCTGAAAACCATGGTAGTGTGTTTTTGCATTTTTATTCTGCCCAAAAAAAAAATGCACTTTGAAAAAAAAAAGCTGAACAAAACGCGGTAAAAAACACGTACACAAACATATCAACATGCAAGTGTACAATCCAAACGCACATGTTCCTGTGTTAAAAATGGCGGTGTGTATAAGTGGGTGCTGCAGCGACCGTCGGCTGGAACCGAACAGAATCAGCGAGGGAGAATGTCATCAGCACAACGAGGATCACCAATATGGGGCCAAAAGTTTTAATGAATGATCACATAGTTACAGCAAGGCAATGTTTTGGAGTCTCACAGGACCCCTCCGTCACATGCCTGATGAAGGGGTCCTGCGAGACTCCGAAACATTGCCTTGCAGTAACTATGTGATCGTTCATTAAAACTTTTGGCCCCATATTGGTGATCCTCGTTGTGCTGATGACATTCTCCCTTACAAACGTATTAGAAACTCATAAAAAATGCAAAATGAACTGCAAAAAGTACTGCAAAAAGAACAAAAAGCAAATTGCATAGGTGTGAACGGAGCCCTTACAGATGTTTCTCGGGGCTGCAGTTTCTCTGAGTTCCAGAAGGCGGTGATCTCACTTCTACCCAGACAGAAAGTCTCTATGGAAGATAGACAGGAAGTGATGTCAGGTACAGACAGGAAGTGATGTCAGGCAGGATGTTCCAGGTGGTTTTGAAGTAGAGAAGAGACGTTACCAGAAGTGGCAGCAGAGGAGGTAATAAGATGTTATTTCCTATTTAGACCCAGTAAACCCCCCGTCAAGTCCGTCCTCTTCCTCCATAGTCATGTCCCCTCCCGTCCTCTTCCTCCATAGTCATGTCCGTCCTCTTCCTCCATAGTCCATGTCCGTCCTCTTCCTCACATATCCGTCCTCCTCCTCTTCCTCCATAGTCACGTCCGTTCCTCTTCCTCCATATCATATCCATCCTCTCCTCCATAGTCACGTCCGTCCTCTTCCTCCATAGTCACTGTGACGTCTTTTATCTCCAGCAGATGATGATACACACATATATAGTGTGGGAACCCAGATGAACCCCTTCAGGGGCAGAACATTCCCCCACTTCCGGGGCCGGAACATTCTCCTCATTGTGGAGATAAATTCTAGTAATATGGTCCTCTAAACAAACAGCACTGACAATAAATAGACAAGACAAGGACCATCCTGACCATACATGGCCTACAAAGGGCAATGATGACACTACACAGGCAGCCAATGGGCAATCATTACACTATGCAGCCAACACAATGATGGAGTGCCGGGGTCAGTCAGGAGTATGGAGCATAGAGCCCCTTACATTGCTGCTCAGATGGAAGGAAACATTCCCCAGCCTGCCATGAAGAATATATTCCATCATTGTGTGTCAGAGGGAGGGAATTACTGAGGAAAGTAAGAGGAGCTGAAGGGTCTCTGAGGAGGTAGTGGGACTAAAGAACTCTGGATCCTCTGAGGGTTTACAGCATCTGAAAGGACTCTGGGACCTCTGAGGTGGGGAAGGAGTAGCTGAAGAACTTTGGGATCCTTGTTAGGAAGTAATAGGGCTGAACAACTGTGAGAGGTTAGTGGGGCTGAAGGACTGTGGGGGGGCCTCTGAGGGGGTATTCAGGCTGCAAGGCTCTGAGGTAAGAGGGGGCTTTAGGGCTCATAGGAACTCTTGGGTCTCTGATGGTCCTCCCACCCCACCCCTTCACTTACTTTTCTGACCTCCTTAAAGAACTCCTGCCAGCACGTGTAGGGAGTCTTCACCTCACCATCTCACTGGTCAAGACACAAAAAAGAACAAAGAAGGACACTTGGTCCTTGGGGAGGTCTGTATTCATAGCATTAATGCTTAATGGGCGGACAGTCCAATACCTTCCCATACCACAGAATCTGGCAGTGCCCGGGAGTACTAAAAATTCAGAGCCAGAAAAATCCACTGCCCCTCTGTACAATGTCCTGGAAATTTCAGAATACTTGGCAATAAGAGATCAAACCCTCCCCCCCCGCTGCCCTCCTCCGACCCACACATAGAAGAGATGAGAACAGGACTCCTCCCACACAGCTCTCTACTCCACCAGTTGCATCCTCCTGCTATCCAATCCCTTCTCTTACTGCAGAGAGTGACAGCGACATCACTCCTGTCAGTCAGCAGGCTGCCGGAGATTGGAGCCTTGCAGCTGGTAGTTCTGCCAATTATCCTGATTTCCAGCAATTCTATCCAAAAGTCATCAGTTCCCCTTCCTGGACATCATGATGAGCCCAACATTGACCTCATCACAGCACTGCCTCAGAGCAAACAATTCATAGGAAAAGATTGTATTTATCATTCCTTGTCTGCAGATCTAAAAACTAATCAAAACCAGTTCAGAGACCAAACAAACCCAACATAGAAATAGGGATTTCTGATGCAACAAGTCAAGAGGGTCTCAGGACTACTTGAAAATTTAGTAAACCCTAAACAGTCCAGACCAACTGTCTTCCCATGGGGTAGTAGTTCTTAAATGTCCATCAACCCTCCTATTCCCCCCTCACATCCACATCCTATTATTGTGTGACCAATACCATCCAAATCATTCTTACTTTCATTTCCCAAAGTTATCCGTCTACAAGGAGACCTGTATAGATCACATGATGGCACCAATGAGGATGCAGGAGGACCAGAGTCACATGACTGAGAAGATACTAAACCTCACCCTGGAGATCATCTACCTGCTGACCGGAGAGGTGAGGAGGATTCTGGGAGGTCACATGACATCACTCTCATCTCTATTAATAAAACACAGACCTGACCAGAGAGGTGAGGAGGATTCTGGGGGGTCACATGACATCACTCTCATCTCTATTAATAAATCACAGACCTGACCAGAAAGGTGAGGAGGATTCTGGGAGGTCACATGACATCACTCTTTATTAATAAAACACAGACCTGACCGGAGAGGTGAGGAGGATTCTGGGAGGTCACATGACATCACTCTTATCTCTATTAATAAAACACAGACCTGACCGGAGAGGTGAGGAGGATTCTGAGAGGTCACATGATCTCATTCCTATCTCTATTAATAAAACACAGACCTGACCAGAGAGGTGAGGAGGATTCTGGGAGTCTAACATGATATTCCTATTGGTTCCTCAATACAGAGATTTCCTCTTCTGAAGTCAGGTGATCATATGACCATCACAGTGCCTCCATGTGACTCCCTAAACCCTGAGAGACACAACATGCAGAAGATTCTAGAAGTCACCAAGAAGATGATGGAGCTGCTGACAGGAGAGGTGAGCGGTGCCGGGGAATTCTGGGACATTCTCCAGTAACAGACAAGGGATGTGTCTGGATGGTGACTGTATCATTGTGTGTGTCAGGTTCCTATAAGGTGTCAGGGTGTCACTGTCTATTTCTCCATGGAGGAGTGGGAGTATTTAGAAGGACACAAGGATCTCTACAAGGACGTCATGATGGACAATCAGCCGCCCCTCACATCACCTCGGGTAAGAGGAGAGGAGACTATTGTAAAGGAGAGAGCAGTACGGAGGATCCACCTAGATCCCCCATCATCTGATAAACACATAGAAACAATGGATTCAGTCAGTGTGTGTGTTTCCTACAGATGGATCCAGTCATGGGAACCCACCAGAGAGATGTCCCCGTCCTCTGTATTCCCGGGATTCCACACAGGAAGGTCACACCATCCCTCACCATCATCAGGTAGATGAGGAACAATCACTGATAGTATCATTAGGATCTGTACATTATCTGCATTGTTACCATTGATGTCATTTTTTATTATATATTCAGAGTGGAAACCTCGGGGATGATAATATTGATGTTAAAGAAGAGTATAAAGAGGAGGATGAGGAGTATGGAGAGATGGAGGAGTTTTCAGAAGGACACAAGGATATGATGGAGCCACCTAATACCAGGAACCCACCAGAGAGATGTCCCCGTCCTCTGTATTCCCGGGATTACACACAGGAAGGTCACACCATCCCTCATTGTTACAAGGTTGGTGGGATGGAGCATCTAAAACATGAATTTGAGGAGAAAATATGTGAATTTTTCATGTGAGCTGATTTTTTTATATTTTTGGTGAAATTTCTCATTTTCTTGGTTTAGGGTGAAGATCTGAGAGATATAAAAGTTGAGGTTAAATCAGAAGAAGAAGAGGCGTATGTGAGGGATGATCAGCAGTCTATGGGGGAGGATGGAATAACGGGGACATTTATAGAGGAGGACACTCCTACAGAGATCAGCACAGGTGGGTCATGAACACTAAATCCATTCCTCCACCCATACTGCTCACTGATTGGTCCAGAGTAGGGCGGGGACTGGGTGATATCAGCCTGTAATCCCCTGGTCACTTTCCTGAGCTGTGTTCCCCGTCCTGTATTCCTGGATTTCTCTCGGATAATCTTCCTTCTCTGTGCTGCAGACACAATTTATGTCTCTAGACTGGATTTATGGAGGTTCTGGGGTTCAGCTGGCAGCATAATGTAGATTTTCTCACCATAGACATTGCTTGACTCGGCACTTGGCATTTGAGTATTGGATCTTCTTCCCCATGCCCGGGTCTAGTAAGATCTCTGACAGAACATTTCTCCCAGGGTTCCTTGCTCTGTGGTCTGCTGGCTGTGCCGGGTGGAGGGATATGTCTGTAGTGTCTCAGACCCAAGTCACTGAGTGCAGTCTCAGGAGATGGGAGGCAGCGGTGTGGGATCTCTGCAACTTGTCTACAGTAAACATTTAAGCTTCCACTGATTAATGAATACCAATATTATGTGTCCTGACCCTTACACTGTATATAATTTATATTGCACATTACATACTCCTGACCCCTGCACTATATACTCTATGTTGTACATTATTACATACTCCTGACCCCTGCACTATATACTCTATGTTGTACATTACATACTCCTGACTTCAGGGTCAGTCCAGTCTTCATCTTGGTTGTTCTCCCCCCATCCTCACTCTCTGACCTCTGGTGGGGGGCTCAGTCCCGCTGTTCTTCATGACTAAATCATGGACTAAATAAGGAAGTGCAGTACTTCTTGTGTTGGGAAGATGGCGATGAGTGATAGAGGGGGTGGGGACCCTCGTCCTATAATCCCCTCATCACTGTCCCTCCTATAAAAGACAGTTCTGGTTGTTTCCTCACTCTCTGACTAAGGTCTTTGAATAAAGAAATGACCTGGTAGGAGATCAGAGGAGCCATTTCCTAGTTCCCTTGAGGGTGGAATTGTAAGCTCCTCAGAGACCAAGCCGCCTGATGTGGGTGGAGTCCTGGTTTGGGGGAACCAATCAGCTCCTGTCTAGTAATCCTCTTTGTCTTTGTATTTTAGTCCATGGCCGGGAGATGAGGAAAACCTCCGAGGATTGTCTCACTTTGTCTCCAGACAGGGGGACTATCTTCACACAAAAACATATTTTAAACAAGTGGATAGGAATGCTTACATCCCAATCCACAGCTGTCATCATAGAAAACTGGTTGAGGTCCATTCCTAAAAGTCAATTGATTAGACTTAAACGGAATTGTGATGACAATAAGACATTTCAAGAGCAAGCAAACATGTTGTTGGAAAGGTTTTAGAGAAAAAGGCTATGAAGAAAATATTTTTAACAGGTGCAATGGATCAAGTGATGAGGATGAATAGAGATGAATTACTAACAAATAGCAGGAAAAAGAAGAAAACAGGTGAACTGGCTTTTATTACGGGTTACTCTAATCAACATAAGGTTATTGAAAACATCATATAAGGAAACACTGGTCGATTCTGAAGAGGGATGAGGTTCTCCATGATTTATTACCTGGGAAGCCTTCATTCATTTATAGAAAACCCACCCACATTGAGGATGAAGTTAGCAAAAAATATTCCAGATATTCCTAAGAAAAAGGTAACTTTTTTGGACACTGTGGGGTTCTACAAATGTAATAAGTGTATGGCATGTAGAAATATGAAAGGAGATACCAAGAGGAGATATGATTCGTTTCATTCTTGCTCTACGGGTTCCTCTTATAAAATAAACAATTTTATATCTTGTGTGACAGTTCCTTTGTTACGTATTTGTTGGAATGCTCTTGTCACCTTCAATACGTAAGTAGAACTTCCAGGAAACTGTCGGTGAGATTAGGTGAACACATTAGAAATATTAGAAAAGGATATAATATACCACAGTTTGTCCTATCATTTTAGAATGTGTCATAATAGGGATCCATCGTGTTTGAAATTCTGCGGGATTGATCGGATTTTTTCCATTGGAGGGGAGGAGATATGGTAAGGAGTATCTCGCAGAATGAAACAAAATGGATATTTCAATTGGGATCTTTGCACCCTAAGGGGTTGAATTCGGACATAGACATTAATTGTTTTTTGTCTAATTGGTAAGAGCATAGTTTATTTTCAATACATATCCTCAGGTGTGTCTTATTACTAGTAAAAAGATTTTTGATTTTATTTTTGCCTACATGTATTTGTATTTAAATAAAAATTATATAAAAAAACTTATATTTTAATATTTTTTTAAATAATTTTTTTAGTTTTTTTATTTTAATTTTATTTTCATTTTCATTTTCATTTTATTTTAATTTTATTTTTATTTTATTTTTATTTAATTTCTCATTTTTTTTTTTTTATTTTTATTTTTATGTTTATTTTTATTATTATTTTTATTTTTATTTTTATTTCAAATTTTATTTTTTTTTTTTTTTATTTTTATTTATTTTTTTTTTTTTTTTTTTTTTTATTTTTTTTTATTTTTAATTTTAATTTTATTTTTATATTTATTTTTATTTTTATATATTTTTTTATTTTCATTTTTTAATTTAATTTAATTCTGGGATAATTTATAATTATATTGCCATCTAGTAATGGTGATATTCATTGCTCATATTAAAGAATGTTTTTTATAATAGGCATTGTTTAAGATTGTATTGTTTTTTCCCACTGGGGACATGTACTAATATGCATGTCGCTTCTGGGAGATAAGTAAAACAGTGTTAAAAAGGATTGTAAATTGTGTAGACAGATGCTTCAGTTGTAAAGGACTCTCACGTCACATAAACAGGAGGAGTAGTTTTTTGATAATCCCGGGGAGGAGTTTTTTGACCAATCGGAATGGAGGGGAGGGTCCCTGTTGGGTATGTAAGGGAGCTTCAGACAGGAAATGAACGTCCGAAACGTCCGATGGGAGGGGCAAAACGCGTTGACGCATTTCCGGTTACTACCCCGTACGTCTGACGTCACTTCCTGAGTGTGTGAGCGCACGCTGAGCGGTGCGTTCCAGCGGCCATCTTTTGGGATCTGTATATGTGTGGTCTCGGTGGAGCTTCTGCTGTAACCTGGAGCTGTGATGTGAGATTCTGTGAGAGGTTGCCTTACATCTACTGTTCATCTGGAAAGAAGAAGCTGGTCTTAATAAATAAGCCTTTTTAAAGCGATTCTAATGTGAGTGGGCCTTAATCCTTGATTTCAACTTATGAATGGTGTTTTGCAATATTACACTATCTGAGTTTTTTTCTCCCTGGTTGGATGGTGGAGTCTATGCTGGAGGTGAGGATTCCTATAGAGTGGATTCCAAAGAGGGTTTAGGATCCCATAAATTCCTAAAAGGCGTTTCATTCACCTTAATCTGGTGAGTGCATTTGATGATGTGGTTTTCACGGGTGGAAGGTGGAAGTTTCTTTATAATAGAAGAAGAATTTGAAAAATTTTCTGTTTGCACAAATTATTTTTGAACTTTGTGTTTATTAATTTTGATGGACTTCACTTTTTATTTAATTTTTTTATATATGTTTGCACTTTGTATATTGATTTGATATTAGAGGTCTATGTTTGCGCTGTTTATTTTATATTTTTCACAATTTGTGTTGATCACATTGCACAGCAGCAGGATAGAACCTATAGTAGGGTGTTTCACTAGGCGCAGGAAGAGTTTTTAGTAATCCTCTTTGGTCTCTTGTCTTGTCTTTTAGAGTCTATGGCCGGGAGATGAGGAAAACCTCCGAGGATTGTCTCACTTTGTCTCCAGACTGGAAAGTAAGATGAGGAGGACAGGAGTCCAAGAGAAAACCCAGCTCCCTCCAATGTCCATCCAGCCCCACCCAGTATAGATGGACCATCGGATTCCTCATATGAGGAACCTCAGACTGTGCAGGACCGGGCCGCTGGCCTTCCAACAGAGATGAGCTTCTCCTGTACCTGTACTGAGTGCGGGAAGGGGTTTCCATTTTAAATCCCATCTAAATAGGCATAAAAAGATCTCACACAGGGGGGAAAAACCATATTCCTGTCCTGAGTGCGGGAAATGTTTTTCACAGACGTCCAATTTTTACAGACATCAGAGATCACACAAAGGGGAGAAAAACCACTTTCCTGTTTCTTGCGTGGGGAAATGTTTTTTCACAGATGTCTAGTTTGTACAGGCATCAGAGATCTCACACGGGGGAGAAGCCACTTTCCTGTCCTGAGTGTGGAAAATGTTTTGCAACAAAAACATATTTTGTCAATCATCAGAGATCTCACACGGGGGAGAAGCCTTATTGCTGTCCTGAGTGTGGGAAATGTTTTTCACAGAAGTCTCATCTTTACACACATCAGAGATCTCACACAGGGGAAAAACCATATTCCTGTCCTGAGTGCGGGAAATGTTTTTCAGAGAAGTCCAGTCTTGACAAACATCAGAGATCTCACACTGGGGAGAAGCCGTATTCCTGTTCTGAGTGTGTGGGGAAATGTTTTCAGTGAAATGCAGCCTTTCCAAACATCAGAGATTGCACATGAGGGAGAAGCCACTTTCCTGTCCTGAGTGAGGGAAATGTTCCGCACTGAAGTCCTGTCTTCCTGTACATCAGGGGTCCCACACAACTCTGGAGGTGTATTAGAGACCTTGAGTGCGGGAAATGTCTTCTAGATGAATGTTTGCTGGACATCCCAGCTCTCATGTGGGGAAGAAGCACACCCTGATATACACCTCAGATATACTCCATGGCTGATCTTCATCATGGAAGAAACAGTTCATAAGGAGATCAGAGGTCCCCAAAGACATGGATGAAGTGTGGGACTGGGTCGGCCATTGATAGCAGCAGAAGAATAAAAATGGAGTCCTGACCTGTGATTGGCTGAGTACATTTTGTGGTGGGAGATTTCACAAAACACTTAGAGGTCTGTTTTTGTAATTGTGGAATGAATATGACACACATTTACCTAGGCATGATGAATATTGGCCGTATTTCATTTCATATAGTGATTTCCTATGATCATCAGCTCCATCTAGTGGCAATAACGAGGCACTGCGGTACTATTACTACATTATGGACACTAGATGGAGCTACACTCTTGCATTGTTCGGTGCCTTCTGGACTGCCGGAGCTCTATATAGTGGAAGTGATGCTCAGGGTGGCTCAGGGGACTTTTGGCATCAACTGGAAGGAGTCAGTGTTCTTTCTCTGCCCCCCCCCACTCTAAGTTTTGATCCTGGTCTGTGTTTGTGCAGTGTGGCGGGTGGACGTCAGGAGTGAGGCACTGCCTGTGTCCATGTTGGGTGGCTCAGCAATGCATGCAGAGTATTCATGGAGAGTCTTAGTGCTGTAAGCAGCTGGCAGTGTTCTCCCTCACAGACACCCCAGATGTACATGGGTGCAGCCTGGAAGACTCCTACTGGTAGACACAATGACTGGCCACAAGAGGTACCTGGGGCAACACATGCATACTCCTTCCTGATGGGGGCAGCGGTGAGCACTGACAGGCTGGGTGGGTGATCACCTGGGGTAACCAGTGCACAGGGCCCCCTCAGCTGACCAGGATCACTCTATCATCAGTCCCACTATATGGG